CGTGACGGCGGTTGAGCTTTTCGTGAGATATTTCCATTTTGGAGCAGTTTTAATGATATCTTTGTCCAACACAGAACAAGATGACAGTTGTCTCAAATTGAAATATCCCCACGGTAACCCATCCTGTGCCATGTTCAAATGCCACGCCTCCTCCATGTCAGGGATAAGGAGTGCATATGATCGCAAATTGTGATTTTTCAGAATGAAACAGACTGAGTATGCCATCATTGATGACATCCCGCCAGACGACAAATTATGGCAGGAGTTCAAGGATGCAGTACGAGCTGAGGGATGGGTAAATGGTCCGGATGACAGCGTCCTCATCATTCTACCGAAACTTGCTAAATCAGTGGTGGCTCAGAACAAAACAGGTAATTTTCATCTCGAGGGAAAACCTACATGACTGGCCCAAATGATAGAGAAAAAACTTCAAGAGAACAAATTCCAAAATTTGGAAAAAAATTCGAAAAGAATTGTACGCTAAAAACTGAGGCTGCGCGAGGGCTCTGTATCCACAAAGAACACATGAATGCTCCGAGAAATGAATCCATCAGCATAAGCGCTGGTGCGGTGGGTGTACAGTAACATTACGGGGCCGTCAACAAAAGGGGGAAGGGCACAAGCAACAATGGGAAAATTAATCCCAAGTCCAAACAAAACCGCTCCGCATCCACCAAGTACAACTCCCGATGCAGTTCTCGCAATTCTGCTTCTGGATAAAGGCCCTCAAGAGCTGGAAGACAGCATTTGGCTGTTTCAGATACGGCTTTAGGTCGAAGTGATTGTCAAGCACCCTGGATCCCAGACATGTCGGTTCGAAACGTTTTTTTTCTTTCGTGGACTTGAATTCCGAGGACACAAGGGTTGAGACCAGTGTCCTACGTCAACGTACAGAACGTCCTCCTATCCCGCCACTCCGTGCGAAGCAATTTGTAGAAGCACGTTCTCTGCGTGAAGTGAATTTTGCCTCCTTCCCGGAGTTGGAGGATTGGCAGGCTAGAAACTTCTCCATGACTTCTTTCAGAATTCACAGCTGCTCTTTAAGCTAAAGGTTTTCTGTTGAAGAGCAGGCAAAGAGCATCAGATTATGTGACATTACTGGAGGCATGCCCATGTAGCACTGTTTGTGAAAAGGCACTATTTTTTGGAACTCAATATGAGAATTCGCTCAGCAAAGCGTAACGCTGTCACCCTTTCTTATACTCCTTTCAGTAGAAAAAAAAAGCCCAGAAAAAAGTCCTCGCTAACAAAGTGGATCAAAAAATTTCATCAACCACTGAAGAGTACCTAACGCGTTGAATGTTTTAAGATGGCAGCTTCATTGGTTCTGTGGTCTGGTGCGAAAACGAAGGATTAGCCTATATTGCCTTCTATATAATACTACCAGAATATCGAGGATTTGGAATTGGTTCAGCCATTTGGAAGCGAGCTTTGGAACGAATTCCGTCCGATTGCACAATAGGCCTACGATCGGGTTAGCCGTGATTGGTTCAGTTGATTTTCTGAAATTAAAGGACCTCCCACAGCCTCCTTTAAGCAGCGTTCAGACTTGGCTATGACGCGCGTCGACGCGCTACAGTCGCAAGAGCGCTCCTATGCTGTAGACGCGAACGCGGCTACAGATAGGAACCAATCGGCGCCGGTGTTTGCGTTCTGAGAGAGTATAGAAGAAGGGGAGGTACGAGACTGTGTGGGAGGGGCAGCGCCTATACTCTCATTATCCTATACAACCACAGGCCGCGCTGGACGATTCCCGTGAGCGAGTGCGTTCGCGTCTGTAGCACTGGAGCACCCTTGCAGTAGTAGCGCCTCGATGCGCGTCATCGCGAAGTCTGAACGCTGCCCCACATCATTTGATTGAAACCTTTCCCAAAGTTTCAGTGGAACGTATGGTGCATCGTTACAAATCCACGGACACCCCAATCGAAGGGCAACAAACCTTCCATCAAAGAATTCGTGTCACTGATTTATTGAGAATCGCCAAGTCTCACACTTTAGCGGTGAGTTTCGAGCATCTCTGTCCACAAAAATACCGTGAATTCTTTGGAAGTTTCTGTACAGACTGGTTAACACCACTCTCACACGAAGCCTAGGGACAGTGTCCCTGGTTTGGGCCTGGAGACTACCGCTTTCGTTGTCCACTCTGCCCTAACAGTCTCCCTTCACGCAGCTTGTGATGTCGCCCCAGGCAGACTTCGAGCCACTTCTAAACTATTACTAAAAACGAGTAATTTTTTTGCTAAAACCTCGTCTATAGGGATGATTCGGTGCCCTAATAACGAATATGACATTCGCCTCCGATGCTTGCGCCATTTCGGTGCAACCATCTTCTTCACCAAAATCCGAGTATACTTGCATAATAGGGTTTTTCAATGTCCTGTTCATGAATATGACATTTTTTCGACAGCAGCGCCATAATCGCACATTTTCCCCGCTGTAAGATTGATGAGTTCAGGAATGACAGTTCTGACAAGGTATATACGCGCTCAAGTGCAGTGAGATTTCCTAACCATTTTTGCTCCAGTCCAATAAAAAGCTAGGTGTTTGCCTCCTTGCTGCTCATGCGCATCTTTCCATGTGCTCAAACCTTCAGAATACTCACAGAAAACTAGTGTTGGTAGGAAACAGAAGTCGATCGGTAAAATGACCACCTTGAAGTAACCTCACCTCATATGCAAACCCTTCATGTGAGAGTGTACAAAAGGGACTGACATGCCTTCAACCTCGTTCTCTATGAGAACCGCGTGAGGAGATATGGTCCCAATCACAGATCGTGGCTAGATAGGCCAGCAATGATCGAAAAGATGGGACAGAGAGAATAAACCAATTTAGGATTGATGACAAATTGTACAGCAGACCTTTGAGGACGTTCTTGCCCACGCGCGAGAAAAGAGTCCGAAGCTAGAAGTAGCGCGCAACTTCCCCGCTCAAAAGTTGCAACCGTCCACCTCCCGATCTGAAAGGGAGCTGGATGGTAGGAATACCCAGCTGCCCTCTAAAGACTTCGTCCGCGCTGCCGCACTACCAACCTTTGCGAGGTGGAGATCAATCAGAATTGAGAGGACGCAGATAAGTAGCGCAATCGGCCACGGTTAGGCGTGTGGCTGGTCGTGAGGCAGAGCGGGAGTCCAGAGACGACACTCCCGTTCCCGCGCACTTCCGGGTGGAGAAAATGGCACGTTTTTTGCAGCCGCAGATCCATTCACCCCTACCTCCCAAGGACCAGGATCTAAGAAGGTGAGAATACAGATTGTCTTCAAAGTACATATGATTTGAATGAAAAGAACTACAGAGACGCCTAAATAAAGCTGGTGGTCAGTCTCGATTCATAAGAAAACTCTTACTATAAGAACCAAGAAGGTAGAACAAGAACACCCATAAAGAGAAATATCACTTCTAATCACCAAGTCTAGGAAAACCGAGAACAAAGAAAATCACTATTTGGGTTTTCTCAAAGCTTCGAATGTTGAGCGGAATAATGTGTTATGGGAGCTGGGGGGAGGGGGCACAACTGCAGCACTGGAGACGGGACAAGCGGTAAAAGCTAGATAGCTCTTATGCTAAACTCGGGATTTTTTCAGGATTCAACGACCAAACTAGCGAGCGATTTGAACGACAGAGAGTACGAAGAAATGCTTTCCTATTCGAACGAAGTTTGCGGACGTGATCGATCTCATCTACTACGCCTTTATTTCGACCTCGATTTCACAGAAGGCGCGATTCTCACTGATTCGACTGAGAGAATTCGAGGATTCGCTTCAATGACGCCCACGGGTGATCCAGATAAACACCTTTATAAAATCTCCCCAGTATATGCCGAAGGGATTGATGAAGCTTTATCCGTCATTCGTCCTCTACTTGTCAAAATACTGAAGAAGGTGAGCCATTATTCATCCAAAAAATATGTGCAACCATATCCTATTACTTTAGGATCCTGACGCGATCGCTCTTATCAATACATGGAACAACTCGGCCGGGGAAAATCTACGGTCGCTTCTTCAAGAGCATTGCACGGAGTCTAAGATCTCCGGCTACACCTTATTCAGCAAGCCATATCGCAATACGATGGACTTCTCACGGATGTTTGTCGGTCATAACAACTCGTGTCACTTTGATGCTTAATGCTGGATAAGATTCGTATTTTGATGCATCATTGCTCTCATCAACCACCATTAACAAGTCGAAAAAGCAAAAAAAAATAAATGAATACATTCCAACGGTATTGCCCTTGAAGTCTGGTTCACTGCGGATGATAAGGAGTGTCCGCGCGTTTGCGTTGGGCGCACCGCCAAACCCATTACTCACACCAGTTGAAGCGGGCCTAAAAAGGGGGTGGCGCCGCTCCAAACGCAGCCGTGCTGACACGCCCAACCATATCGAGCGAACAAACTATAAACCTAAGTGACGTTGATAGCTGGAAGCTCCTTCCGCATTTTGAAAAACCTATCAGAAAGGGATCGCGTTAAAAATCAGCAAAATTTTTTCTCTTTGCTGCCTCAATGTTCCAAAGCAGATTCTGATAAGGTAGGAGTACAGTGTAAATCTGACCAGACTGCTTGTAAAGAAGCTACATTCGGAGACATGAAGATTATCCAATAGAGTTCGATACAATTCGTAGAAAATAAGTGAAAATCAGAACAGTTCACACTGAAAGACGAAAAAGCGGCATTGTTCGGCTTGGAGGGGGGTGAGGAAGTATTCTGCACTTTCGTTGGCGGCGAAGTCGGATCTGGCCCTCCCTTTCATAGGAAACTTCTCACCGGGACCCCGATCCCACTGCCCCCCCCCCTGTCTTCAGAAGGTGACCTGTACAAACTTTGCTGAGTTTGGTGCCTCCACCAAAGTCGAACTGCGCCCAATAAGAAGGCTCTACTCACGAACTGTTCGATGTCCTTATACGATCGTGAAGCCATCTGAGACACAATAGATTTCGTGAGGAACTGTAGATATGGTGCGGCGATTTCAGGAATCGGTCTGAAATTTATTAAAAAATAAATTTGTGCACGAACAGCTTATATTCGATAGCACTCCATATGCTGCATGAGAAGATAGAGCTCTTACATGTGCGTGTGCGATAAAAGAGACCGCAAAACGTTGACCAATCCTAGAGAGGTGTCGAACATCTCTTCAGTACACTCGCGCTCTTCGAGCTCTTTCTAAACAAGTAATGTGATTGCAACGAGTAATAACTCCTCTAATTTTTTCATTCATAATGCCCTAAAAATTCATGCTACCCTCAAAAGCGATCAGACAACAGCACTGTCATACCTGCAAACCTAACAGCGTTCCGTTTTCTGCAAAAGTACACAACTGGTGAGCATTGAGAGCCGTCCAGATCCTTAAAGCTTTGGATAAACTCTCGTTCTCTAAACTATTGCGCAAGACGAACCTCATCGCTGACGCTTCCCTCTTTGCGAGTGCGGCTACCAGTCTCAAAAGAGCTCCCTTCAGTGGAAGGGGGACAGGTGCTGACACCACTCCTAACGCAGCATCCAGAACTGCCCATTGGCGCTCTTCCAAAAACACTTCAGCAGCCTCTTCATCCTGAAAAGCGGAATGGAAACATCGTAAGGATCGTAAAAGAGCCCTCCTGAAGACGAACCAAGCTTATCACAATCCTCGAAAGATTTATCCATGTAATCATTCCTATTAACTCTCGTGGGGGGATGACCGCCTTCGGCTGCTGCTGTGATAATGAATGCCTGAAATAAATAGGATGCCCACTACGAGACAGAAACTATAAGTATAAACAAGTTTACCCGAACATCGAAGTTCCACCAGGTCTCTCTCGAAATAGTCGTTCATATGACCGCAGCGCTGACATTACATGATCCCATCCGACATACCCATCTGAACAATCATGATTATTTACCTCCTTTTTCGTAATCGGACATTAGTGTCCAGAGAGGAATCGAAAGCTGAGAAGAGAAACGGAGAAGGGGAAAATGCAAGCACATCACAAATTGGCCAATTAATAGCGTGCCTAAATAGTACTAGTTATCACGAACACCGGTAAACCAACCATCATGAGCTGGGACCCTGGCGAACACATCAAAAATGAACGCTGCAACTTGGCGTGTGCGGCATATCGCACACAGTAGATCAAGGTAGGCGACAGCATGGACGACATGATGTGGAAGGCGAGCACGCTCGATAAAACGGCACAGCTCCATCTAAAAAAACCCATCAGTAACAGACAGTAACTACATTAAGTAACAGCTGATACACATAAGTGATATCAAGCGGTACCAAATGACTCACAGATCCTGAGCTACTGAAAGCTATGCTCAGCTCCACGATATACGACTTCACGTTTTCACTTGCTTTTGGATCATCAACAATTTGATACAGGTCCGGATATACAGCGGAGGATATTCTCGTAATGCAAAGCAGGTGTAGCCTGAATACGCTTGCTCAAACTGTGATTATAGGCAGTCATTGCCTAAGGGGTGATAGAACAGCAGAAATCTCAGATAAATAGCTTATTCCATGCTAATATACGGTCAACTACTACCTGCTGCCCTTTCTCCGACATCTCATCCACCCATGTTAGTTCGTCTTCGGAATTTCGCTCGATTTCCATGAGCTAAAAAGAATTTCGTTTATTTCGACTCTGACATGTGAACTCCAATTGAAAGGAAGGAGTTAAAAATATTGCGATATAGACTGTCCAGTATTCCGACGACAGAAAGGCTTCTGCTCTATAAAATAGCTATGGAAATGTATTGTTGTCTTCCACGAGGGGCCTACACACGTTTGGAGCAGCGTCCGTCTTGTTGTGAGAATCTCATCTGGTTGGACCTTTTTTGGTTGCTGGGTGGTCGCACTTGCCTTCGAGGAAAATTTTTCGATGTGTTGATTTCCCCTGTTTTCTCGTCTTCGCAAAGTGCCCACCACTCTTCAGACGGCGAAACTCTAGGAAGAGTGGTAGTAAGGTGATAGGTAAGTAGTTAAAGGTGGGGCCGGGGGTCGGGGCACCTTTCGGGGAAGGTTTGCACTGATACCAGCAATTCACACATCCCGATGGTTCAAAGTCGTCGGGCCTATTCCAGTGTGTATTTCAGCGCGCTACAAAAAGAAAACAGCTGGAAGAGTGTTCCTAATGAATCGCTCTCTTCATTCAATACAACAAAAAGTTCACTTGTGTTTGTTCATTCGAGCTATACAACTTGCACTTGAAATTTTTGTATCCTTTTTTGAGGCAATAGATCAGCTTCTCAACAAAATGTCGAAGGCAACTTTCATAATACGACATTTCTACTATATATAAAAAATAAATGGTTGCGTCCATCTGTTGTTTGCCTGTCCACCTGCCCGATGATTCGGCATCGCATCACCTAAAGAGGCAGGGACTGGGTCAGGGATGGGTTGGGAAGGCCATGGGGCAAGATTCACGGAACACACATGAACTGAGCTAAGCCCGACCCACGTTGGGCGGGGCGGCCGGGTCCACCTACTTCAAAAAAATGTAGTTCCGCTCCAGAAGAGCCCGGAGAGCGGAGTGTGGGGAAAAGTGGGAAACGATGGAAAATGGGAAAGACGCGTAAAATGAGGGAGATACAGCCACATTGGTGCGGAGCGTACTACAAATGGGCGGTGGAGGGGGAAAACTCACTCCATACGGAGAAAGAGAATTGACCGACGAAGCCGGCCGATCCACTGGTAATTGATATGAGTGGACCGTAGTAGATGGTGTGCACGAGTATAGACGTCAACTGAATAAAAATCAGTAGAATCTTACCTTAGCAGGGAAAAGGGCGATGAGTTGTTTAAGCAAGCCATCCACGACACGAACATGAGTACAACATTGTTTGAAGTAATCTGACCTAAAAACCGTTTCTAAAGCTTTCGGTAATAAAAACTGCAGAGGAAAGGGCATTTTTTCGAGAAGCAGAGCAGCATGAACTACTACTATACAACTAGTAGATACTACTAATAGTAAATGTTTACCCCGTACCGCCCTTACTCTTCTACTGATTCAGTTATGAATGCTCGGTGAACTATGTAAGGTACTGGGTAAACAAGTTAGCATTCTCCGACCAGTCGAGGGTGATAGATTTGAACTCCTCGAGTATTATACAGTCTAGTAATACAAATAAAACAAAAATTAGATGGCTATGTTGAAAAATCGATCAGATTAGGAGCATCGAAGGGGGGGGGGGTCGTAAGCAATGAGCTAGATCGGTGTCCGTTTCTCACGTGCTCTTACAGGCCGAGCAAAAGCATAGTTCTCTCTATACCTTCATCCGTGACGGAAGCGAGGAACATTGAATTCGATGTATTTCAGAAGAAACAATGAGAAGTGACTAACCCAATGACACCATGACGAATGAACAGCATTGCCATGTTACGCACAGCTCGATCAACCACCTTGTCCACATCTACTTCCACATTAGTGATATCTATAACATGAGTATGGGCACTGATTGAAACAGCTATAGGATTTCAAAAAAAAGCGAAAGAAATGTTGAAGTAATGACTTGAAACTCACTCAAGTGATCAGCTGGGCTAACGGCAAGAGATCGAAGAGCTATTGCACACGCTAGTTGCGCAGTTCCACATACAGATTGGTCACTCCACACGGTCTCGTTGCGAATTTCCTTCACGAAATTCGCAAGCACTGATGCTGCTGTGTTTGCTACAAAGGGGATATTGAGAATGTGAGATCAACTGAAGCTGTTAAGGAGATCGTAGGCTAATGAACTTCGGCTGGGGAGGCACTTCAAGAAATCCTTGTGCAAAATCGAGAATAACGTCACCAAAACAGAAATACCACCCCAAACTGGATCACCTCGCAGCTCAAACCAGTTAAAGGGACAGAACTTCTATTATGCTTCTACACTACAGGCATAACGCACCTCGTCCCCTGAAAGGTTGAGCCCGCGTTCCAAATATGATGAGTTATGCGGCTCAGATAGTAATAGCAAGGTAGCAAATGATCCAGCAGTGAAGAAAAAAGCAGAAAAAACCGCCGGAAATGTCCCATATAGAACCCCATGCCGAACTGAGGTTGTACGTGCATAAGGCGAAAAGAGGCCGCACGAGTTCTCACTTGTTGGTATCAGCTGTTTTCCCTTATCACCTCACTCTCACCATTCGAAGTGGAGAGAGTTAGTAGCAGAACAACCGCACCATCAGGCAACCATTAGAAATGAATGGTGGGCGGTGCCAATGATAGGGGGTTGGGCCAATGAGAGGAACGACGGCATCGTGGCCTCCTCACTCGTTTTTGCGCCGCAAAAGTGGTGTAATCGCTGCCTCTGCGATTCTGCTCACAAAGGTGGAGGGAAATCCCAACTGAACGCAGGCACTGCCTTTGAGACTCAAACAATAGCTCTCATCAACGTTGTAACGGGGTAGTTTAAATACCCCTCCTTGAAGCCATTTCCAAAAAAATGCCGAAATTCGTTCTCCAAACATCAACTTGCCTCTTCCTCAACTGTGTTAGCCCCATAAAGACTACTGACAGAAACAACTCACTTTGAGATAGGACAGTCTGAGATGTTAGCTTCACCAAGCAGATCCAGGCAGATAGATGATGTGCCAGAAATTTCTCGGCCAGCGGAACAGCCTAAATCTCGGCCAGCGGGAACAGCCTAAATACATACTGAATACGTGCTGTACAAACGGTTTCCAACTTTCAAAGATAGCAAAATTTTTTTTGTGTAAAAACAGGAAATGACAAGCGTCAAAAGTCAGTGAGAAGTCAAAAAATTCAATAGAAATTAAAGTTCCTTCAAGGATTTACCTAACACAGTTCCAGCCAGTGAACAAGCAACTAAATCGAGCCTTTTTCTCACGAACTCATATTGACAAGCATGTAAAAATCAGAGATTCAGTCCAAGTTTAAAACTGCGGTACCTTCAGAACAGGATACACATCCATCAGAAATTCATTCGCATGTTCAGCTCCCCACTCACACAACGAGTACAAAGCTTCAGCAGCATTTTCCCGAATTTCTTCGATAACATTCCTGAGCTGCAATTCGAAATTGGCGTTAGAAAAACTGCTGCAGATTCCCAAGATTTCAAAACAACCACGAACCAAAGTTTGATGCTTCGGACCGCCCAGGCCGTTCACATGCGGCTGCGATAACAAGTGGAATTCCGTGGCCACACTGAAGCTGGCTTGGAGTTCTGGAAACAAAGGAAACAGTAATTCGACATAGTGGAATGCCACAAGTCAGAAAGATTCTCCAGGTAATTTCATTTGTGACCTTCAAACACCCTTGAATTCCGCTTTGCTGTTGAGAGAGCTCGCACTTCGCGATTGGAGCGATCGCGTCGCGAAGTACGAACGCGCTCTAAGGGATAAACGGTTGGACAATGGAGATAACACTTACGTAGAAGGTGTTGAAACATAGTGCGCTGCACGAAATTCTGCTCGATAAACGCTCGTAGGGTCTCATGCATCGTCTCCTTGTCCCATTCCAACATCGTTCTCAAAAGGACTGCGAGTAGCCTGTGCACGTCGTAATAGCATACAACAGCTATTAATCCTCGATTCAGGCAGTCAAAATGGATCCTTTGGCTTTCACCTGAAATCGGCAAGGTGCTACTTGTAGGGAAGATTTCTCACAAGAGCGCTGAGTTATGGGCAAAAGCCAGACCCTAGGAGGGACTCGAACCTGCATCTCCCCCTGACCGGGCGCGTGCGCTATCCAATCACGCCATCGGGGCCGCTCTTACCCTCTAGCCTCAAGAATGCCACTCTCGGGAAAATGAACTTGACATCAGCAATATAATTACTGAAAAACTGTTTCGGGAAGATATCCTTGTGAAAAGCCAAGTAGGAAGGGCCCAATGCCGGTTTTTATTGATAATTCCATGGAGACAAAACAGTTCAACCTAGGACTGATAAGCAGGTGTGCACTTCAGTTAACACTTGGTGAGATGCATGAAGAGTGAATCCAATTCGATACAAGTCAGACCCTATGGAACGACTTGCTGAGGTCGTGACTACTCCCCAAGCTCGCCTTCGAAAATCCACATCATTCACCGGTTGGTGGCGCTGTGATAAGTAGCACTTTTCACCGCGAGTGCGGTCCAAGGATCATATCTCGGATCGGCTCATGCCCTACCCAGAGGAAGCTTCCATTCCCCGGTGCCAGTAATTTCGCACCAAACATATCTGAGGGGGGGGGTGGATGAAATCAGCTCGACTCACCAGCAGTTCGTTGCAAAGCAAAATCACAATCGAAAAGCTCACTAAAATTCCCAGCAAAAGTGCACTCCATATCCCGGAGATGACGAGAGC